CAATTCCAACATGACTACTAATGGCCCAGACCCTTCAGGAATGAAGGTTTCGGTCACCCCACCAGGCAAAGAACCACGACTGGCTGAGGTGCTTGCTGAGGGTAAAGGGAATACAGAGTGGGTACTGTGGATTAAGGTAGTTGTAAATACCAGCTACAACCACATGACCAGTTGCAGAAACAAGGGCTGTAATTCGTAGGAGTATTTCTTCCTTGTATGTGTACATCAAATATTTTTGTTTTCTTCACTTATAAAATATGAGATGTAAACAGTGCTAGTGCTTTTTTGGTTGTACACGTGTTAGTTGTATCATGTTAGGTGCATGTATGACTTTATAATTGTCTTTAGAGATTATGTATGGTTTAAGGACATGTGTGTACAGGTGCCAAGTTGACGGGGTGGACTGTGATGGTTAAGTTTGTGTGTCAACTTGGCTAGGCCATTATTCTCAGTGGTTTGGCAGTTATAATGTAGTTTGATAGTTATTAATGATGTTATCACCTCCATGATGAGATCTGATATAATGTAATCAACTTCTTGATGAGATCAGCTGTGATCAGGCAGTCAGTTGAAAGGGAATTTCCTTGGGGTTGTGGCCTGCATCCAATATATATGAACTTTCTGGCAAATTCTTTGGGTTTTGCTCTGTTCTGGATCCTGCATTCAGCTTATCATCATCTAACCTCCAGGTCTGGGGACTTGAGCCAGCAGCCTACTTTCTTACCTGCCAATCTTGGATTTGGCTGTTTCTGCAGCCCGTGAGTCAAAAGCCTTCCATCTGACCTGCCATTCTTGGGTTTGTCAGTGCCTGCAGCTATGTGAGTTAAAAGAAGCCTGACGCCTGACCCACAGACCTGGGACTTTCCAGTCTCTACAACCGCATGAGCCATTTCCTTTATATAAATCTCTCTCTCTCTGTGTGTGTGTGTGTGTGTGTGTGTGTGTGTGTGTGTGTATGCTTCACTGGCTTTGCTTCTCTAGAGATCCTAGCCTAAGACACCCCTTTTATTGTTTTGACGTTGTTGTCATTTACAGGTTGACATCTCTGTTTTAAGTATTTTAGGTTTGTTTTATTATTGAGTATTCTTTACCTAGGTTGGTATCTGGCTGATGCTGTCCTGTATGTTAGACTTAGGTTTTTGTCTGATGTTACTGGTTCTCTAATGGAAGGATTCTCTTAATATTTCTTGTAAGTTTGGTTTGAATTTTACAAATACCCTTAATTCTGTTTATCTGGAAGTGTCCTAATTTCACCACTGTAACTGAGAGAGTGTTTTGCAGTATATATTATCCCTGGTTGGCAATTTTTCTTTCAAGGTTTTACATATGTCATCCCATTCATCGCCTTCTTGCCTGCGTAGTTTCTGCCGAGTAATCAGAGCTCATCCTATTGTTTCCCCTTTGTAAGTGACTTCATTTGTCTCAAGCTGCCTTCAGGATTCTTTCTTTGTCTTTTGTTTTGGCACGTGTGAATATGATAATGTCTTGGTGAGTTTCTTTTGGGGTCTATCCTATATGGATAAGCTTCTTGGATTGTCAGCTTTTCATCTTTCATGATATTTGGGAATTTTTCTACCAGCAAATCTTCAGCAGTCTTCCCTGAGTTTTCCATTTTCTCCCTTTGTTCTGAAACTCTGATCATGCTCAGATTTTTGCTCTTGATCGTGTCTCACATGATTCTTAGGTTTTCTTCATTTTTCTTTATTCTTTTGTCTGATTTTTCCTAAAACAACGTGACGTCCACGGATTTGTCTTCAATCTCACTGAGTCTTTCTTCCCATTATCTTAAATTTGCTCCTAAAACCTTCTATTGCATTGTCCATTTCTGAGAGTTTGTTGTTTATCTTTCGGATTTCTTGTTGCTGTTTTTTATAGTTTCTAATTATTTATTTTGACGTTTTGTTCCTGTATTTTCCTAATTTTGTCTGTGTTTTCCTTGATTTTGGCTATGTTTTCATTGGTTTTGTCTGTTTTCCATGATTTTGCCTGTTTTTTCCTTGGTTTTGTGTGTGTGTTCCTTAATCTCTTTCCTAATCTCTTGAAGAGCCCTCAATATTAAGGTAGTTCCAATGCCTTTGCTACTACTAGAAGGTTATCTGATTATTTTGGTCACTTACGGGAGTCATCTTGTTCTGCCTTTTTATATGTTTTGATATTATTTGCTGTCTCAGAGACATTAAGATACTAGTTTCTTTCCTTATTGATTGTGTATTTGTTTCATCCTGCTTTTTTGTTTTGTTTTGATATGTCAGAGCGGGCAGGCCAGGCATGTTCTGGTGCTTCCTCGTCTGTGGGCACAGTAGCTCTCACCACCTTATTTGGGTGGGTCAAGCAGCAGGAGGAAGGGTGAGCCCGCTTCACTGTACACTCGCTTGGTGAGATGGCTGAGAGCAGACTGGGTGGGTGCTGTCTGCCTCCTGGTGTTGGTCGAACGGTGTTGGTGTGTCCACAGCCCCTTGCCAAACGGGCAAGGGTGTTGGACGGGGAGTGTCACAGGCTTACTTCATCACTCAGCAGCTGGTCGAGTGGCAGGAGGGCAGGAGTTGTGTGGGCCCTGTACGGCGGCAGGCCTGAATGCCAGGGGCGCTTTAGCCATGGCAGTGCGGCAGGGGCTCGCGGAAAGTGGGGAGAGTTGGCATACTGGTTTAGGAGGGATGGAGAAAGAGAAAGAATAAGGAGTAGCATGGTGGGAGCCAGCAGTGGGGGCAGCATGGACTCGGGGGCTGGCAGGAACAGGAGGCAGTGGCTTATGGAGCTAGATGGGAAGGAGAAGGAAAAGGAAAAAAATATGGTGTGGTGGGGCAGGGCAGACCTGGGGCAGCAGTGGACCAATGTGCTGGTGGCACTTCATACATGGCCGTGCTGCTGGGCTGGTGTGAAGGGGGTGGGGGTGGTATGCAGGGCTAGAAAGGAGGGAGAAAGAAAAGAAAGAAAAAAATGGCAGCACAGCAGGAGCCGATGGGTGGGAGCAGGTCAGACCTCGGGCGGTGGTGGGCCAGTGGCTTTCTAGCTATAGCAGTGCAGCGGGTACTGGCAAGAGTGGGGTAGGGGGTGGCATAGGAGTCCAGCTGGGAGGGAGGAAGAAAAGATAGAAAAAATAATAACATTGCTGTGGGAGCTGGCAGGAAGGAGGGGGGAGGTGGTGAACAGGTCTAGGGTGGGAGAGAGAAAAGGAAGAAAGAAAAAAAAAAGTGTGGGGCGGGAGGGGCCCGGTGGGAGGGCCTGGGGTGGAGGCTTGTTTTGTGGACCCTGGCAGTGAGGGCTGCTGGGATGGGGGCAGGGGGTTCTTGCTTCTACTCACCTGAAGGGTGAGGGATGGGAAAATATGTTTCTCTGGTTACCAGGTGCTCTGTCTCCTGTTGAGAGCTACATGAAGTTGCCTTCCCATATTACCTGTCCGGGGTCGTTGCTGTCTTTCAAGATGGCGACTCTGTGCTGTATTAGTTGGCAGGGAATCTTTACTCAGCATCTCTCCTTGTTTTCTGTTTTCCTTCAGTTTCTTCTTCCATTCTGTGTTTGATCTAGTTCTTTATCTTTTTGATGCTCAGGGTTTCAGGATTGACACTTGTATCTGTTTTACTTAGTTTTTTAGGTCTCTGTTGCAGAGGGATGGTGTGGTGTGTCTGTCTAGGGCACCATGTTCAGCCAAAATTTGCGTGGGGGGAGGGTAGTGTAAACCATTTTAGTTTTACTTGTGGATACAAATTTCACCAGTCTTGCCCAGCTTGCCAGTATCATCAGTTAAATATTGAAATGCTTACTATATACTAAGTGCTATGGAATTTCTAACCTGAAGGAGTGAATCTGTTATTATTCATTTGTTCAGTCATTCAACAAATGTTTATTGAGCACTTACTATGAGTTAAGCATGGTTCTGAGTGCTGGGGCTTAACCACTGAACAGACAAAAATCTTTACCTTCACATAGCTTATATTTAGTGGGGAATTAGGGGGACATGAGACCAACAATATAAATTTTAAATGTATATTATGTCTGGTGTGGATAAGTGCTATGGAGTTGGAAATGTCAAATGTGCATATTGGGGTGGGTATTAAAATGTTAATCCAGGAAGGCTTCACAGAGAAGTTATTAGTTTAGCAAGTCTTGAAGTAAGGGAATGAATGATGCTGGTATCTGGAGGAAGAGGGTTCCAGACAGAGGGGACAGCAAGGGCAGAGGATAAACCAGGACTTACAGGGAAGCCAGGGACTGGAGTGAAGTGAGTAAGTGGGGGGCGAGTAGTTAGAGATGAGAACATTGAAGTAAGAGGATAGGGGTAGAGAGTGGTGACAGATTTTATAGGGCTTTATTAGGGCATTGTAAGGACTTTAGCTTTTATCTGACTAAAAGGAAGTGAATAGCATGCTTTAACACAGAGTTGATTTTATTCAATACAGTTGATGTAAGAGGCAGCTTAGCAAAGCAACTAAGAGCATGGACATGAGTCAGATTGCCTGAGTTTGAATTCTGGCTCCACTTACCAGGTGTAACCTTGGGCAAGATACTTAATCTCCTTGTGCCTTGGGTTCCCCATCTTTAAAATGAGGATAATCTAACGCCTACCGTATAAGATTGTTGTGAAGATTCGATGAGATATTTGTAAAGCATTTAGAATGGTGCCTGGCACATCGTAAGTGCTGTTTGTGAAATAAATATTTGGTGTTTGGTTAACTATTAATTACAGATGTAAGAGAACTGAAATATAAATAATGTTACCTAGATGATTCCTCATTGTTTATATTCGGCTGAGACAGGTGTTCAGATGACTTCCTCTGTTTTCACTTTTGGCCCTTTTTTTTGTAAAGGGTCAGAATCGAGTCTATTTTTATTTTCTAGTAGTTACTAAAAATATATATATCCCAATATTTTAAAATAGTGAAGTGAATCTCAAAGTTTGCTATGGTGTGGTATGGGCTATAGAACAAAATTCAGTATCTTATATTAGTATACTAGGACCTCACATCTACTTTTGCCCCACTACAAATGTTAATACATTTCAGAGTCACTACTAGTTGGATTGAAGCAAACCTGCCAGATGGTTCTAAAGACAGATGGAAGACGAGGGGGAATGTAGATTATGTGGTACTTCTTGACTGGTTTAGTTCTACAAAAGATTTACAGCTCGGAACAACTCTACGGAGTCTGAAAGATGCACTTTTCAAGGTAAGCAAGTTTCTTTGTTCATTTACTATAATTGTAAGCCTTCTCCTTACTAGAATGGAATGTTGTCTGTTTCATCTTAAGAACAAGAAGACCCATCATGCTTTGGTTGTCGGTTTTTTTTGTTGTTTGTTTTATTCAGATTTAGAAGATTTGTTTTGAAACATCAAATAATAAAACAAACTGATCTATATAAAACAGGGTATTAGACTTTTCAGAAATTATCTAAATCAAATGTGTATTTTTTGTTTTAGTAATTAGACTTTAAAAATGTAAAGGCACACTCCTGAGGTACACCGTTCAGCCAAAGATTAGACAAGCCCATAAAACAAAACGAGACTAATGGGGCACAACAGCCCAGGGACGAGGACTAGAAGGCAGGAGGGGACAGGAAGCTGGTAATAGGGAACATAAGGTCGAGAAGGGAGAGTGTTGATGTGTTGTGGGGTTGTTAAACCAATGTCATAAAACAATATGTGTACTAATTGTTTAATGAGAAACTATTTGTTCTGTAAACCTTCGTCTAAAGTATAATAAAAAAAAATATATATATATATATATGTATATATATAAAGGCAATACTCTGGTTTCTCTTCAGATTGAGTAAATCTTTCACCTTTTACTAAAGATTTCTGTGGAACCGTAGAAGAATATATACATATATATGTATATATATATAAAGGCAAAGGAAGAAGTCACCAAGGGAAAAAAGATGGATAGATTTGACTTCATAAAGTAAAAACTTAAATGTAAAACAAATCATAAGATTAGAAGCTAGAAGACAAAAATATTTGCAACAAATATGATAGTATTTTAGAATACCCAAAATCTGAAGACCTTTAACAAAGAAATAAGAAAAATACTTATGATAAAATAGTAAAATCATCTGTGGACATAGACATGAACAGAAAGAAAATGCAAGTGAACATAAAGATAAAAATGGTCAGCTCTACTAGTAATCAAATAAATGCAAATTAAAAGAACAGCCATTTTCATTGATCAGATTTACAAAGATTACAAAAAATACTACTTAGTTTAATTTGTGAAATTATTAAACTATGATAACACTGAATGCTAGTGAATATAGAAGTCATTCTACTGGTAGGAGGGTCAGTTGATGCTATATTATATCTTAAAAGCCTTAACACAGTTCATGCTTTAACATAGGGAATCCGGGTATAGGTTGATTATATGAAACTAATAGTTCAACTGGTGTTGACCTGTAAAAGCGGCAATTTCATAAAGTTCAACCTAAGATATATGAAAGTTTAGTGTGCAGTAAGGGTAACATAGATCAGTGAGGAAAAGATAGATTGAAATGAATGGTTTGGGACAACTGGCCAGCCAGTAAATAAAAGAAAGTGGATCCCTACCTTTTTTTAGACCAAAATAAATCTCAAATGGATTAAAGATGTAAACATGTTGCTTGACATAATGGAACACCAGAAGAAAAAATTAGTAGATATTTTTATTATCTTGATCCCAAACTAAGTGCCATAAAGGAAGATCAATAGATTTGACCATGTGAAAAAACACCATAAATAAAGAAAATACTAATCAGGAAAAATATTTGTAACATACATGACAAAGCCTATTTTTCATAATGTTCAGAGTATATTCACTCTTCACCAAGAAAATAGCAAAAAACTTCATAGAAGAATGTATAAATTATGAGATTAGTTAAGTCACAGAAGAGTATAAATGGTTTACTAATCATGGAAAGATATTCAACTTCCCTAATAAAGAAATGCTAATTAAAACAAGATAGCATTTTTTTGTCTACTAGTTTGGTAAAAAGTATAAAGATTCATAATGGGCATTCTCGTACACTGTTGATATATAAATTGGCATAAGCTTTTTGAAGGGCAGTTTGGCAGTATCTACCAAAGTTTTGCGGAGCCCTGGTGGCATAGTGGTTAAGAGCTCAGCTGCTAACCAAAAGGTCGGCAGTTCAAATCCACCAGCTGCTCCTCGGAAACCCTATGGGGCAGTTCTGCTCTGTCCTGTAGGGTCGCTATGAGTCGGAACCGACTCAATGGCACCTACAAACAACAACAACCAAACTTTTACTTGTAACCACTTTTTAAACCAGCAGTTCTGCTCCTAGGAATTTACCCTACAGAAATACACAAATATTAAAAAAAAAAGAAAAAAAAAATCTTTCAAAGATTGGCAGTGTATATCAAAAGTCTGAAAATGTTTATGTGCCTTGGTTTAGCAATTCTACTTCTGGGAATTTATCCTCAGGGAGGTAATTTGGTGTGTGCCTGTGTGAGGATCTCCAGGGTTTATCTTGCTTCTCAGCATTATTTATAATTAAGTGTGGAGGGGAAAGGAAGTGTTCAAATGGCTGATTAAATTTTAATGTGTGTGTGTATATGAAATGGAATATCATGTAGTCATTAGAAATGATGATACAGATTTTTATCGATAAAAGATGTTTAAGTAAGAGAAAAGCAGCATCATAAAGTTTGTCTTGTAAAAATATAATTTAAAAAGAAGTGTATATCTATGTAGAAAACTGTTTTCAAGAATTAACTCCAAAATGCTAAAGTGGTATCTCTAGGTGGTGAGGTTGTGGGTAATTTTTGTTTTATACTTACTTATTTTCTAGTTTTTCTTCTAAGACCATGGATTGTGTGGTTTTAAAAACCTGATCTATACAACTAGGTATTTTAATGCTGAATTTTGAATTCAGTTCTCAAATTTTTCATCATTTAGGAGAAGAATTGTCTTCAAAGGAGCAGTTTTAAAATTCAAGTTTGTTATGTTTTTAGTTGCTGAGACATTGCTGCCATATTAAAAATAGTATTTGCTTATTTTATAGTGGGAAAGTAAAACCATCCTGCGCAGTGAGCCTTTGGTTTTAGAGGGAGGCTATGAAAACTGGCTCCTTTGCTATCCCCAGTATACAACAAACGCTAAAGTCACGCCACCCTCACGAGGCAAGAATGAAGAGGTGTCTATCTCATGTATGTATGTGAAAGTTTTTGTTTAAAATTGCTTCAGCAAAATATACTTTAAAATAAGTTATATTTTCAGAGTAATGTTCTTGATTGTGTGTGCATTTGTCTTATTAGATAGCAGTTTGTTTTCAGGCACGAAAAATACAAGATGTCCACAGCCTGGAAGTTAATGTTTTCTCTAAGACTATGTGGTTGTCACTTCATTTAGTTTACATTTAAGTGTCACATATAACATGCATGAGATACATAAGTACTGATCATGGGGTTTGCTATTCTTAATAAAGTATTATTATTATTTTGGGGATTTTAGTGGATTTTACTTACCCCTCACTGGAAGAACCAGTTCCTTCTAAACCTACTGCCCAAATGCCACCTCCTCCTCTACAAGTAGATGAAAATACAGAATTGAAAAAGGATCAAGATGAGAGAATGGGACCACTTAATATACCAACTCCAGTTGAACCAATTGCTACTTCTGAATCTGATGTTTCACCTACAATTCAGCCAGTGCCTGTTGTAAAGAATGTTCCACAGGTATGTTCTTGATTTTCTTTTAATTGTATTGTCCCTTTCGTTTTAATATTATATTAAATGTGTAGTATAGAAATGAAGTTTTATATATAATTACTAATATTTTAGAACAAAAAGTACTAATGAGAAGAATCTATCTTCTGGGACCTTTTTTGTTGTAAAAATTTTTCATTACAATAAAGTCTTATTGCCACAGCTAATAATAGAATAGATAATTCAGAGGATTTCACACTCAGCCGGAAGTCCATTTTCTACAGGCATTACTGATAAAAGATTGTGTTATCACAGTGAACTTCAACAACACTTTCAGGTTTTCGTGTTGCAATTTGACCCATAGTATTTTCCAAAATAGTTTGCTTTACATATGGTAGGTGTGTGATATCAGTATTTGGTTTGGAAACAATCCTTTGGTTCCGTTTCTTTAGAATTTGATACATAAACAACAGCCTTGCTTTAACAATATTTATTGAAAAGTTTTTAAATAACCAAGATATTAAAATAAAAAATTGCAACTTCTTTCTCTTCATTGGATTTTATTTAACGGGAGGTTAAGTTTAATTCTCCCCATGCCTGTCCATTAAGATGTTTTTTCTTATTGTGGTAAAATATATGTAACAAAATTTGCCATTTTAACCATTTAAGTGTACAATTCATGACATTAATTACATTTGTAATGTTGTGCAATCATCACCCTGTGTATTTCCAGAATTTTTCATCACCCCAAACGGAAACCTAGTACCCACTAAACAGTAACTCCCCATTCCTTCCTCCCCCGCAGCCTCTGGAAACCACTTCCATTAAGATTTTTTCAGTTCATTTTTAATTTTTTTTCTCAGAAAAAAAGAATGTTTCATATTTTAAGTAGATGTTATTTTATCTGTGGAGCAGGCTGTGAATAGAAAAGTTGGTATTTTTTGTTATTAAATGAAGTGGTTCATTTCTTCTCTAGGAGCCTGGGTGGCACAAGTGGTTTGCGGTCGGCTGTGAACCTAGAGGTTGGCAGTTCAAACCCACCCAGCACCTCTGTGGAAGAAAAGTCTGGCAAATTGCCTCTGTAAAGATTACAGCCGAGAAAACCCTATTATAGCACATGGGGTCGCCATGAGTCAGGGGTGACTTGATGGCAGCTGACAACAAACAATAAGCTTTAATATTACAGATTAAGTCTTAAGACTAAACAATTTGATTAAACAACTTCTCAAAATATAAATCTAAAAAACTTCTAAAAAGAACTTACATTACTATACTTACTTTCAACTTAATCAACATGATATTTGAACCCTAATCCTTTTGTGTCCCAACATGACTTTCTGAGATACGTGCACTTTGTGAAATATATTTTAAGGATCTTCTGTATGAAAGACAACATGAAGGGTTACAAATATGAGTAAGATATGGATTCTGTCCAGTGTTTAGAAGGAGAGACCTGTATGGAATCAACTATAGCATAAAACAGTGGTAAAATAGATGTGATCTAATAGCACAGAACAGGGAGACAAATTCTAGCTGAGGGGATGTGATCTCACAGCACAGAACAGGGAGACAAATTCTAGCTGAGGGGATCAGATAGGTCTTCATGGAGGAGGTAGTATTTTAGCTGAGTTTTAATAATTATTAATTATTAAAGTGTTAATTTAATATTTAAAATAAATTTGGTTTTGAGAATGTCATGATACCTTTTGAGATAATTGCTAAATATAGGGTTGTGCAGTGTAGAAGGAGCCTTGGTGGTGCAGTGGTTAAAGCAGTCAACTGCTAACTGAAAGGTCGGCGGTTCGAAACAACCAGTAGCTCTGCAAGAGAAAGATGTGGCAGTCTGCTTCCGTAGAGATTTACAGCCTTGGAAACCTATGGCGTTGCTGTGAGTCAGAATCGACTCAACAGCAGTGGGTTTGTTTGGTTTTTTTTTTTTTTT